TAAAGGTAGAAGAGCGTCCCACGTTCAGCGTGTCGCAGGAAAACCTCTCCTCCGTGCTGAGGCGCACCGCCTGAAGACGGGTGTGCTCCAGCTAGCGAGGGGAGGGCCAGGCTGCAGGCAAGGCGCCACATGATGGCGAGGCCTGGCGGGCGGCGCGAGCGATGAGCCGAAAGCTGCATGTCAGCACACGTCCTCAAATACCCCTGAATGCTCATGTACATTGCTACAATCACGCCCCCTGCAAGACTACGGGTGTCCCTACACCAGATAGCTTGCGCGTGCTGCTGCCAAAACAGACATGAGATGACAAGAAAGAGATACGACGCGAAGAGGGGAGAGATGCCTCTGAAGGCGCTTCCTCGGAGGGCTGAGGCGAGCTCTCTGAGGCACCTTCAATAGGGTTCTTGGGTGGCCCGACCCTTGTCCTTGCCTTTGTCGGCCCCTGGGGGCCCCGTCCCTGGGGTGACCTGGCCTGGCTGGTCGATCCAACTGCAGGCAGCCACGGGTTCGGCGGCCGCTGCAGCTTCCTCCTTCTTAGTTTCCAGAGTGGCCACTTGTGGCAGGTGGATGGTGCCTCCCGTGAGGTGCCCGAGGAGGGTCTGGATGTCGCCGCGCAGTGCAGCGGCGTCGGCGGTTGCCGTCTGTTGCTGGGTGACGACGGTGGCAAGCCCCCGTTCCAGCCCTGAAACGTGCTCCGTGAGTGTGGCCTGGGAGGAGAGAACGCCCGCAAGCTGCACCTGCATGTTATCCACCGTGTTGGCTAGCAGCTCGTGCTGCTGTTCCATGTGCTGGATGCGGGTCGTGGCAGCATCGGGCGGTTTGGAGGCCGATGCGAAGCGCTCGCCGAAGGTGTTGAGTTCGTGGGAGGCCACGCTGTATTCATCACCTGATGAGAGGATCTCGACGTCGACGACGTCGCCTGGTACTTCGGCGGCTGTGGCAGCGTCGCCTTCGGTGTGGCCCCCACCTTCTGCCGCCGCCGTGCCAAGCCAGGAGTCATGGCCACCTGGTCCTGGGGCGGCCATCGGTTCAGCGGCTCCGTCCGTGCCGTGCGGGGGTGCAGAGGAGCTGCGGCCTGGGGCGCAGGGTGACCTTGCGTGCGGCGTGGCGTCACGTTTCCCGCTGGAGGAGCGGTGGCGCTTGGCTGAAGGCTCCTCCTTGGGGATCAGGAGCGGTGCGACGCCCTTGCCTTTGGTCGTGGCAGTCATGAGGTCGTGGAGGTAGGGGCTCTGGGCCGCTTTGGTGAGGAGTGTGCCGGTGGCGGGGCTAAAGCCGCCACCACCGGCTGGCGGCGTCACAGGCTCTGTGATGGTGGTAGGCGTGACGATGGTAACGTTGTCCCGCTTCGGCACCACCTCAGCCAGCGGGGCCTCGGTGATGCTCCACGGGATGGGGCACCCCGCGACCTGCACCGTATAGGTGAGTGGGGGCCGATGAGCGCGCACTAAGGCAAACTGGGCCGCAGTGGCTGGGTCCCAGGCGGTGTGGTAGACCTCACAGTCCCATTTAACGGACGGGCCCGTGAGAGTCTTGGCGAGCTGGGTCAGCGTGGCGTGACGTGCCGCAATGCCAGTGATGCGGTAGCGCGTCTTGGCGAGGGTAGCCTCGCAGCCACGGATGCTGACAGCAGCAGCCTTGGCGACGTCGGACCCCCGTGGAACACGGATCCCCAGTAGGCCTGACTTGCCGTGCCTGACGACTCCCAGGGCCTTGAACTCCACCGACTTCTGGAACGCGTCTGCCATCGTGATGGGCTGGTCCTCAGGGAACCAAACGGTCTGATACTTGTCGGCGGTGGGCTCGTCTGCACCTACATTGCTGAGGTCGTAGGTGGCACCGAGTTGCCCTGATCCCGCCAGGACCTTGTCGACCGCTTGGAGACTGACGCCGAAGGTGGCAGCCAGGGACCTCTTTCCGACGCCCGATCCAAACCTGCCTAGGCTTTTGCAGGGTTCGAGGATGGTGACGGCTTTAAAGTTGCCGTGGAAGAGGGCCTTGAAGGTGTCCTGAAGCTGACTATCGAGCTCCTGGCGGCGAGCGTCTTTCTTGGACTCCCTGTGCTTTTGGTTTTGGCGCGCCTTGTCCTGTGGAGCGGAGTCCCCTCGAAAAGGGCCCTTGGCGCGTGGACCACCGTTCACGGGGGCACCTCCCGAGAACTGGTCCTCGAAGGCCTGGTGCATGGAGGGGACTGCGGCAATGGCCTCGGTCTCGTGTATGGTCGCCCGAATCCAGCAGACGTGGTCGGCAGGGTCGATGGTGGCGACGGCTACCTTTTCCGTGCAGGCGACCTCCTTGGTGCCCAGCTGGTACACGGTCACGGGGACGTGCGTGTGGACCACTTTGGGCGCCTTGGGGTGACGCTTCAGGACGGGGACGGCGAGCTCGGTACCGACGTAGTTGTCGTTTTTCGGGCCCATGACAGCAATCGCGAGCTGACCCGTGGCTCGCTTGCCCTGCTCGAGGTGGTGTTGCAGCAGCCGTTCACCACTCTCGTAGTCGTGGAGGCTGATGCTGGGCTTGTACGTCTTGCCGTCGTCAGGTGATGTGGGTTCGGCAAGGACAGGGACCTTCCAAAAGGCAGGGTCCAAGGCGATGAATTGGGTGTCCGCAGCCTGAAGACGTGCGGAACCCGCTGGTGGGTGTGATGTGTCACCGCCAATGCGCTTAGGCTTGCTGCGCTGGTGATGATCGAGCGTGTAGCTGATCTGGTTGGCGGCGCACATGCGGATCAGGGCGCTGCCAAGCTTCTTCGTGTTGGACTTGTGCATGTCGTACGTTGCCTGGAGCTCGTCCGCGTTCAGTTCGGCAAGCCCGTTGTATGCGGCCGTGGGGCGGTCAGACCCCGCTTGCTTGAACGCTGCGATGCAGTCCTGCTTGCGTTGAAGGAGAGACCCTTCAGCAGCAGGGCGCGTGGGACGGGAGCTCGGAGGCTGCTTAGAAGAGCGACGGCGCTCCGGCTTCTTGGGGGCCATTGCTGCGGGCACTCTGGTGTGGAGAGGTGACGCGAATCAGTAGGGTCCTGCTGGGGCCCCTCCGGTCTCGCGAGGCCTGGGAGTCTGACTCCGAGGCGGGGCGCTTCGCGTCGCGGCTGCGGTCTGAGTGCAGAGCACTCTCGAGCCGAGACTAGAGAGAGAGAGAGAGAGAGAGAGAGAGAGAGAGAGAGAGAGAGAGAGAGAGAGAGAGAGAGAGAGAGAGAGAGAGCGGAGAGAGAGAGAGAGAGCGGAGAGAGAGAGAGAGAGAGAGGAGAGAGAGAGAGAGAGAGAGAGAGAAAAGAGAGAGAGAGAGAGGAGGGGGAAGTTGAGAGAGGAGACAGGCGAGAGGAAGGGGCGAGAAGAGATAAGAGGAGGAGAGAGAGAAAAGAGAAGAGAGAAGATGGGGAAAAGATAGAGAGGAGAGTATAGGAGAGAGAGCAGATAGAGTGAGAGAGGATAGAGAGATACAGTGGGATAGATAGGGGTGGGGGTGGGGAGAGAGAGAGAGAGAGAGGAGAGAGAGAGGCGAGAATGAGATGAGATATTGAAGAGATAGTATATATAAAGAGTTAGAGAGAGAAAGAGCGGGAGAGAGCGAGAGAGAGAGAGAGCAGAAAGAGAGAAAGAGAGAGAGAGAGAGAGCGGGAGAGAGCGAGGGAGAGCGAGAGAGAGCGAGAGAGAGCGAGTGAGAGCGAGAGAGAGAGAGAGAGCGAGAGAGAGCGACAGAGAGCGAGAGAGAGCAAGAGAGAGCGAGAGAGCGAAAGAGAGAGAGAGAGAAGAGAGAGAGAGAGAGCGAGGGAAGAGAGAGAGAGAGAGATAGAGAGAGAGAAAGAGAGAGAGAGAGAGAGAGAGAGAAGAGAAGAGAAGCGAAGAGAAGAGAGAGAGCGAGAGAGAGAGAGAGGGAGAGGGAGAGAGAGAGGAGAGAGCAGAGAGAGAATAGAGAGAAGAGAGAGAGGAGAGAGAGAGAGAGAGGCAGAGATAGAGGCAGAGAGAGAGAGGCACAGAGAGAGAGGCAGAGAGAGAGAGGCAGAGAGACAGAGGCAGAGGGAGAGGCAGAGAGAGAGAGAGGCAGGGAAAGAGAGGCAGAGACAGAGAGAGGGCAGAGAGAGAGAGAGACAGAGAGAGCAGAGAGAGCAGAGAGAGAGGCAGCTCAGTCACACTTAAATTCAGATTCGTCCTCACCGAGTCCCACCACCAAGGGAGCGCCAGCAAGGAGATGCACATATGGGGATCCCCACGCAGTGAATAATTACTATTACTACCACTACCACCAGCACTACTACTACTACTACTACTACTACTACTGCTGCTACTATTACTACTACTACTACTACCTACCTACCTACCTACCTACCTACCTACCTACCTACTTACTTACCTACCTACATACCTACCGACCTACCTACCTACCTACCAACCTACCTACCTACCTATTGCTACTACTACTACTACTACTACTACTACTACTACTACTACTACTACTACTACTACTACTACTACTACCACTACCACCACTACCACTACCAATACCACTGCCTCTACCACTACCACTACTACCACTACTACCACTACTATCACTACTACCACCACCAC